CGGCTGGACCGGGGCCCGACGGGCCGGCGACGATGTCGCGTCCAAGGCCGGACTATGTATTTGTTACCTCGCGGACGGAGACATCACAGGCGCCGGGCGCGGAGGCCATCGCCGCGGCACTGCCCATAGAAGGCTGGTGCCGCCCTCGGGAGGAGCGAGCGCCGTGCGAGGACATCGTCGGCAGGCAGCTCCGATTCACTTCCAGTGGGAGTTGCCGGGCGAGACGCTCCACGGATTGCACGTTTGGGTTATTTTTTTACTCTCAGTGTACATGCAATGTGTTCTTAAGCCCCCACTATCTGTTTTTTTGGTGAGCATCAGGTAAAGGGGGGATTTTCAGGCGTGCTCACAGCTGCGGGGGGGGGCATCTCCCAGGCAGTGTTATGTCAAGGGAAATGGGCATCGAAGCCTTTTATGCCTAGCCTCTTAGCCTCTTATGATATTCCTACTTAAGCCTTTTATGAAAGTGCTACTTATATCATGTCCAAGTAAGTAAATGGGGCCAATGAGAAAATCCAGAATGTGGCCTTCTGGTCATCCAAGCAAACGGTCGCGCTATCCTAAAACGGGGCCACTTGTTCCCGAAAAGGGCCTCCTGGTGTACAGAGGGACCTCCTAATTCAGCGCAGGCTGCCTTCGACTCATGAAGGGGCCTCCAAATTTAGCCAAGGGCCTCTTTATCCCAAAACAGTGCATCCTGATCCGTAACTGCTGTCACCTGGTGCATGAAAGGGACCTCCTGTTCCAGTAATTGGGCGTGCTGAATATAGAGGATACCGTCTAACCCAAAATAGGGACCTCCTAGCATACGAATGGTGTCACTCGAGCCAGCAAACGGGCCTCCTGAAGAAAACATTGGGCCTACTTATCTAGAGCATGGACTACCTTACTCATAAAGTTGGCCTCAGTATCTAGAACACGGACTTATTGAAGTAGAAAAGGGTCTTTCGAGACATATTTATTACTTTCTATATAAGTTATGAGACCACCCTTGATTTGGATTTTAGTCATCTACAGGTATTGCAATGCTTTTAGTTTTGAAAAAGGGTACTCCCAAACAACCTGACGAACAAAAACATATTCTTCCCCTTGTCTGCTATCAAAAGCGGGGGAGGGGCAACTGCCCCTCCTTCCCATCCCCTGCTGCGCCGTCCGTGGTGAGTATGTCACCAGCTAGCACGGGACCAATAGGTATTGACAGCCTGGTCCGTCAAATACGTCAAATCTTGCGTCGTCGACCCGTGAGTGTATGCACGCTTTTGCAATCGTTGGGGGGGGGAGCGATTAAAAATGTTTAATGGGGGAGCGATTAAAAAACCGCGCGCGAGGCGCGCCGCAGGCGCAAAATTTCTTACATGGCTAAAAAACTATTGCATGTTTTGACTCTGCTTATCTTCTTTGGCTATCCCGCTTGTTTGCTATCGATATTTATTCACTTGTAAAAATATCATAAAAGGTAGTGCGCATGTCCCCGTTGTCCTTCCTTGAATGCGTCCAAGAGTCAATTACATGGCTAGACATTGACAACACACTGATCGTCCAAAGCTCACAGCTCAGCTCACAGCTCAGCTCACAGCTCAGCTCATAGCTCAACTCATAGCTCAGCTTACAGCTCAGCTCACAGTTCAACTCACAGTTCAGCTCACAGCTTAGCTCACAGCTCAGTTCACAGCTCAGTTTTCAGCTCCGATCATAGCTCAGCTTACAGCTTAGCTCACCACTCAGCTTATAGCTCAGCTTATAACTCAGGGTATAGCTCAGCTCACAGCTTAGCTTACAGCTCAGACAGCTTAGTTTACAGCTCATCTCGCAGCTTAGCTCACAGCTCAGCTCATGTCACCGACCGCCACTCCTCATTAGCTCAGAAACCCGGCGGGAGCCCCCAGAGCCGTCTGCTTTGCCGCAAGAGATAAAAACATCACTTGGCATTACCAAAAACAAACAAGCATTGACATTCCAATGAGAGGGAACAATGGGATGCAACCTGGGGTGACGGGTATCTATGGAACCAGACAGGCAGTTGTGCAACGCGTTGAGCCGCTGCTGCGAAGCGCTGTGAGAATTATGTGGTCCAGCATAAGATACGACAACACTCGCTAACTCCCTGATTGCTTTATTAAAAGAAACATGAAAGATATGGATGCCAACGAACGCGATAGCACGAGCCTGCTGGGATCAATGCTTGATCATGCGGCGCCGAAGTGCGACTCTCTAGAAGCTGAGTTTTGTTACAGAAATTTAGCTTTTCGTTACGATTTCAGGTTTGTTATTTGATGTGAGGGCAAGCAGCGCAAACAGCAGCAGATGAACGAGCTCTTTTTGAATAGAAGAGCCATTACGTACAATGCTGAGATGATACTGGCCCATTGCAAAAAGTACGCTTATCGTAAGCATTGTTCGAGATCGCAAGGAGAGTATCCAAGGCCTTGATAGTGCCTTCTGGCTAGCTGATCGCGTCGTCAGCAGCCGACCGCACCAAGCATAAGTGCCGGAGCTAAACCGTGAACAATTCGGATAGTCAAGGTGGTATTACTGGCTGGTACCTTAAAACCCCAAAGTTTTAAAGCACGCATAACAAAGCTTGTGCCAAAATAATTCCGTGAACAGTTATAATGACGGTTGTGGCATTCAATCACCGGCGCGCGTTGTAGCGGTGTTCTATTATCTCATTCCCCTATGTTATTAACATCAGGTAATCAAGCAGCGCGAATCAGCTACGTAAAGAGCGGTAGACCAGCCTGGTTGTAGAGCAGTGACGGACTACATCTGGTCTGGGTATTAAGACAGGTAGGCGCTTACGCTTTGTGAAGACGAGTCAGAATTGTCTTAATTCCGGGAATCGCATTGCGAGGTCCAGCATGTCCACTTTAACTGGATGTCCGGAGGGTTTGTCTGGGTGAAAACTTGACGACGGCTGAATGAAGTTTTTCGTTGCTGTTGAGTTGTAAGAAGGAGTGAAGCCTCTGAAGCACGGTATGAAGACATTCCTTTCACATATCACCCTCTAGTGTATTGTGGCCAGTGATGATATGTGACGTTACGGGTTCTCGAGGTGAGAGTGACTGACCTTATATCTATCAGGAGCCGGTTAAACTAAGATATCAAGCAATCATTTGGATATACTAGTAGAACGCACAGCACTTTAGTGGTGCTCCTGGTCACAACAGTGCAAGGTTAACCAAAGATTATTGTCCGAAAGCCTAGAGCATCTAAAGACGGAAAATGTTCCAAAGCGCTTAAAGCTCCGCTAATACAACGTCAAAATAATGGACATTTGACCTTTTACTCCTAACATTGGATTTATGGTGCTACAACACAGGTATTGCTTGAGCATCTTCTCTTAGTTGAGTCTGTTTAGCGTCAGCTCATTTCTCTATCTCTCACGCGCCGGTTTTGTACAGTAATTTTTCACTCTAACTTATTCACTTGCGATCGTAAATGCTGCCGGGAACATCGGATAATCTCGCAACATAGCCGATGGATGCTTGATATCCTCTTTTACCCATTTCCAGCAGCATGCTAAAAGTCAATAATTCTCAGCATAACAGGCCTGACTGCCGAAAAACAGGGGCTTAGAGCTTCTTTTGCTTATATCGTGACATGTGGCTTCTAACGTTCTTCAGGGTGCCTTTGACATGCGCTCCAAGTCCGCGATACAGAACATAGTCAGTATGCCTGGCCATTTATTTTGTCACGACTGCATGATCATCACACGACATTCTCGTCATAGCCCTTGGCGGCGCGTCAGCCGCCGCGAGGCGCCCGGCCGGACAGCCGGCAGGTAGGCGTCGCCCGTCCGTCCGCTATGTACAGAGACACGCTCGGCCCGATCGCACGGCGGCCGCCGAGCCCGGACACCCCACACACAGTCACGCGCTCCCACCAGACTAGCTCAAGAACCCGCCGCTCCGTCCGCGCCCTCTCTCCCCCCTCCCAGGTCGGCAAGGGCCGCCGCGGGCGCGGGTTCACAGGCCGCCGGCGCGGCGCTCTAATATATATTCATGTAACAAACGGGCAGGCGACGCGTCGATGCACAACACTGCACTAAGCATGTATCACAGCTGCTCGCCGGGCTCGGCCCGGCCGATGTAGGGATGATGCGCGCGGGAGCCGGCCGCCCGCCCGACCAAACACTCGATAAACCATTTCATTTAACAAAAGTAAAAGTGCGTGCGATAAGATTCCGTCGCGTTGCGCCGATTGGCCGATTGGCCGGCGCGGCCGGCCCGGCACCGGGCCGAAAAACAGGCTCAGCTGAACGCCGCTGCCCGCTCCGGGTCGCCGGTCGGCACGGCGGGGTCAGCTGCTGGCGGAAGCCGCACGCCCGGGCTGCCGGGTCGCCATAGGGTGATCCTCGGCGCTGACCTGTGGTGACCCGCGGCGACCCGCGGTCGGAGCGGCGCCGCGATCACGGCCGACCGCGCAACAGGCGCGCGGCGCGGGGCGGCGTGACGCGGGTGACAAAGACGAGACCGGCGCGCTTGGTGCCAACCGGCCGCAACGTGAATGCGACTTCCAGACGGGTCAACGCCGAAAGTGCGCGATGGTATCTTAACGACGCGGAGTCCCAACGCTTAGTACTTTGTTTACTCTGCCAGCCCGGCCCGCTCAATTACTGACGCTCATTGGCTGGGAGCCTGGTGGCACGAATGGCCCATAAACCCGGCCAAGTGGCGCTTTTACTGAGCACGCGGCCGCCCGCTGGCCGCCCGTGTCGCGCCCCGCTCCCTCGTCCTGCCGCGGCCCGCGCGCGGACGCCACCGCCTCACCCCACCCGGCACGCATTCTTTTCGCGCGGCGGAATGCCGCCGCTGGCCGGGCGCGTAAGCCACGCGGCGACCGCCGCCGGTCAGCGGGCGGCGGCGGCGGCGGCGGCGGCGGCGGCGGCGGCGGCGGCGGCGGCGGCGGCGGCGGCGGCGGCGGCGGCGGCAGCAGCGGCAGCGGCGTTCGCCGGCGCCGACAGCGGGGCAGCGCGCGCCGCGCGGCGAATGGCGGCGGCGCCGATGGCCGCTGCGATGGCCGGCGGCAGACCGCGGGGCGGGCCCGCCCGCGTAATCACAGGCTTCCTCGCAGCGCTCAATTATCACAAAATGAGGAGGGTGGGACAAAATGGTCTGGCCGGGCGGCAGCGCCGGCACGGCCGGAATGCGACGACACCCGGCAGCCGCGGCGTCGTCGCCCCGGCCGTGCTGCGGCGGCGGCGTTAAAGCACTCGGCCCCACACAGCGCCCGGCACGCGGTCCACGCCGGCGGACGGACGCCCGATGAAATAACAACAATGACTGGCGGCACGGCGCGCACTAGCTGGCGTATGTCCGTTCGCACCGCTCGATCACCTCGTGCACATTGTCTATGCGTCGCTTCAGTATTTTGATGCTCTTCTCGGGCAGCGTGGGCAGGAAGTCCACGAGCTCGGGGTGCGTCTCGCGGAAGGTGCGGCGCAGCGTGGTCCCCACGTCGCCCGCCTCGCGCAGCTGGCGAATGCGCCGCACCGTAGCGCGCCGGAACACGCACGTGGCGTCCAGCATGGTACGATGGTACGGCTCGTACTTCTCCAGCAGCCGGTAGCCGTGCAGCAGGCCCGACTCGTTGTCGAGGAAGAGCAGCAGCCCGGAGGCGGTGTCGCGTACCAGGTTGTGCGCTGGCGCCTCCATCATGGACGGGTTCCACTGCATGTTGTAGAGGTTGTTGACGACGCGGTCGAGGTTGGCGGTGAGATAGTCGAACACGATGAGGTCCGACCACTGCGCCAGCTCGACGAGCGTGTCGCGGTGCTGCTCCAGCTCCAGGCCGCGCAGCGACAGGTCCACCGGGTGCAGGCGCCGCTCGGGCCCGCGGAATGGCTCGGGGATGAATGCGGGCGCCAGCTGCTCGCGGAACTGCGTCAGCACCACCGGTCGGTCCTCGGCCCACTGGGCCAGGCTGAGCTGCGCACGCACCGCCGACCACTGCCACTCGCCCGGCCGGACCAGCATCAGCGAGGTGGGCGGCAGGTTGCCGATGCCCAGCTCACGGCTCAGCAGGAAGCTGAAAATCTCACCCTGGATCTGGTCGAAGTTCTGCCGGTAGCGGCAGCACGACTGCGTGCCGTTCTCGAACGTCAGCAGCCGGTTCTGCATGCGGCCGCAGCCCTCCTCCACCTTGATGAGCGCCGAGTGCCGGCAGAACGAGCGCCACGCCTCGACGGCCGCGTCGTCGACGCCGGCCGGCAGCGACGCCTCCACCGCCTCACTCCAGAAGATGCCGTCCGTCAGCGGCTGCGAGGCGTTGCGCGACGGCGCCGGCAGCGGCGTCTCCACGCGCGTCGGCTCCTCCGACGGCGGCGGGGTGCGCGCCGTGCCTGAGGCCGCGCCCGGCGCCCGCGGGCTGACCGTGGCCGCCAGGTGCACCTCCTCCATCGGCGGCATGACGGACGGCGGCGGGCGTGGCGCGGCCAGCGGCGGCCGTCGCGACAGCGCCTCCAGCAGGCCGGCCGGCTCCGGCGGCCGCGGTGTCGGCGTCGGCGTCGGTGTCGGCGCCGCCGCCGGCTCGGGCGTCGCGTACAGCGGCGGCAGCACGTACAGCGGGATCAGCACGCCGATCACCGTGCCCAGCACGAACGCGACGCCGGCCGTGATGACGCACAGCGCCTGCGCCGTGCGCGACGGCGCCACGCGCACTCCGAACAGCTCCACCTTGTGCATAGCGGCCGGCTCACGCGGTCATGGGCGCGGCGCGGCGCTACCGGCGCCCGTGCGGCTGGCTCGGCGGACCCGGCGCGACTGAAGCGGCGGCGCGGCGGTCGCGGCGGCCGGCGGGGGGCTGGCGCCGGCGGCGCGGGGCGGAGCCTGGCCGCGCGTGCACCTGCGAAAACGTCACGACGCTCAATCAGCGGAGGAGGGCCATGTGAATTACCGGCGGCGGCCGGCGTCCGATTGGTGGCTAATTGAATGCGTCACTGTGACGTCACTGCGGGACAGGTGACGCCGGGTCGGCGCCATCCACAGACGCAAGCCGGATAGGCGGACGAGAGGTAGCGGGCGACAAACGGCGACATTTGGCAAGCAGGTCTCGGCAGTCCAGACATGTCGGCTCGCGAAATAAGGGAGCGGTGGCCATCGTTGTGGGTGACAATACGGGTTCAGTGGCAGGACCTGCATGTAATCTTGGAGTAGCGGTCGTGAGGAACAGTGTTAGTTCATTCAAATGCGGGGGCACAGCGACCGTTGCCGACCAGAACGCGTCAGTGAAAAATTGGGTATTGGTCACGCAGCAGAAGGGTCTGATTGAGGAACGGTGCGTGGGGTGGGATAGGGGGGGGGGGGGGGAGGGCAACGAGTAGTGCTGGATAGCCTGAGGACGGCGGAAAGGATAGGTGCAGGGTTCACTGAATCAGTCCCAGGGGAAGTCGAATAGGCGGACACGATGACAACAACAGCAGGCCTAAGGGACGTGTGAAGGATGGAAGTCATGGGTCAGACCGCGAGACACTGAAAGGAACTGACACTGTGACGACACCGGGCTAGACTGAGAGACTACAGACACGCGGACAGCGGACAACACCCAGCGACGGTGCACGACGCGCTCAAGGCCGACGCGTCACATGGTGCAGCGCGGGCCGACTGTCCAGCCTGCCACCTCCACAGGCGTGACGGCGCGGCGACACCGGCGACAGCCACAGCGGCCTGTTGTCACCGGCCAACACCCAGACGCGTCCCCTCTCTCGCCGTGTTTGGCGGCGGGAGCTAGGTGAGGCTGAGGCATGTTTGTGGGACCTTGGTCAGCGGGCCGGGACGAGGAGCCACGCTGAACGGAAGCGGGCTTGCCGGAGTACGGCCGAGCTGGAGTAAATGAGAACGGAGGCGGGCTCGCGAGAGTACGGCCGGGCTGGAGCAAATGAGGACGGAAGCTTGCTCGCCGGAGTACACCCGGTCTGGAGTAAATGAGAACGGAAGCAGGTTCGTGGGAATGTGGTCGGGCTTGAGTAAATGAGAACTGATGCGGGCCCGCGGGAGTACGGCCGGGCTGAAATACATAAGTGAAGTTGTTCAGCAAGTTTGGTCGGCCGTCAAGTCTACATTTCATTTCACTTGCCCACATTGGTGATAACAAACTTCATTTGCCTGCGATCGCAAGAAACCCCAAAGGACGTGCGGAGCTAGGTTTGTATACGTGCGGAACGTGACCAACTTCCTCGAAACATGTGAATCTTGCAGTAACTTGGCCCCGCTCATCACACTTGCGGGTGTGAGAAAAGCAAACGAGAAGTACTAGCTATGTTGATAGATCATTTAAACTTGTACCGCTTATGATTAAGCACCCTCGATGAAAGTAATGTGCAATGATAGCGGGGAGCCGTAATGGCCAAGTGAGGATTTCATCAAGTCGTTGTTTAAACTTGCTACACCACAAGCCGCACGAGACCATTTTAAGAGCCAGTAATCCAAATCCTAGCCTCCAGATCTGCGCACGGCCTGGCTGTTTCGCACTACTATGACTGAGCAAGGTCTGGCACGGCTTGTTTCACTGAATTGGTTGCAGTGCACAGGAGTATGGGGTATGAAATCACAAACAAGGCTAGCAATTATCTTTGACACGCACCCTAGAAAGACAGCGTGACGACAGGTAATCCTGAAGCACGCTGCATACTGTGCATCACATCCTTAGCTTGCATTTACTTGAAGATAATAACTCGCCATTACATGAGTCAGACACTCCGAAGCTGACCGTGCAGACCATGCTGCAAAGATACGCGTCAGCAGCGCTTCAGCGCGGCCCGCGCTGTCTCGTCACAGGCGGGCCTTCAGGTCTGCGCCACATTCCTGCGCGCTGAACTGGAGACAGGCTGCGGCAGCATTATGTCGCGGCGGCGCACCGAGCATCGATCAGGCAGCCGTCTGCTGCAGCGGCCGGACCCGCCGACGCCGAACACGAATACTGAAACCGACGCGCCTGCCCGACTGCAGGCTCTGCAAATGCGCCGAGGCGTCAGCTTCGGCGGCGGTCCCGCGCTGTCAAAGGGCGCCGCGGCCCGGCCGCGTGCGGCAGCCGCGCTAAGCGGGCGCGTTTGTCGGAGGCGACAGCCCGGTCGGCTCCACATCCGTCATGCAAATGAGCGGCCAATTCGGCGCGCCCCGCCGCCCCGTGCCGGCGTGCTGAGCTGGAGGCGCCGAGCTGGCGGCCTTGCAGCGTGCTGGGAGCGTCGCTGACGTGGACGGAACTGCTAGCGCTGATTACAAAAGTGCATTAAAATTCGTATTTGCTCTTCTTTTTACGCTCCCCGCCAAGTTCTTTGGGAGTCCAAACAGCGCATTGTGCGGGTCGAACCAAAAGCTGCCAGGGTCCCTTCACTCGCCCACCCGCCCACTCCCACTCGCAAACGTCTTCAAAGCTTCACGAACTGTCGCCGATACCGCCCGCTCCGGCCCGGGTGGGCGCCGGGCGACGGCCGGCAGACGGAGAGCTCTCGCGGCGGCGGCCATGTCATCCCCAGACGGCCGTCGCCGTGACGTCAGACGGCATTAGCGGCGCGGACGCGAGCGGTTGCGACGGCCGCCGCCAGGGGCGCCACCTGCGGGGTGGAGGTCACCGACTGCGGCCGCCCGCGCGGCGGCGGCGGCGGCGGCGGCCGGGGCGCGATGCCGGCAGCCGAGGCCCGGGACGCTGGGCCGCGGCCGGCTTCGACTGGTGACGCGACCCTCGGGACCACACGCGTCGGGGGAGGCGCCGTCGGACGCACCCCGGGGTTGGCGAGGCGAGACGAGACGGCGGGTCGTGTGAAACGCTGCACTCATCGCACGACGCTCGGGCTTCATCCTTATCGTGTGGCTTCGCCGTGTATCTTTCAAAGATGTACGAGTCCGTTGGTAATATGCAGTGATTTCGGCTGCAGTCGTACGGAACAGGAGCAGGTGATCGAATGTACATGCTACGTGCTTCCCCGAAATGCTATCATACTGCCCTGGAAGATTATCGTGTTGCCCCGGAAGATTAGCGGATCATTAGCAGGCGTGTTAGAGATTCTTAAGCGGCGCAAAACACCGGCAGCAGGTTTAACAAGACTTTTGACGTGTGCAGTCCGGCTGCGTATAGTTCAAAGAAATACAGCGCCTTCGGCGACGTCAGCGTTGGCTTTCAAAGAAATGCTAAACCGGTTACAATCTCGACTCACATCCAGAAGCTCCAACATGAAGAACGATGAGAAGCCAGCGCGCTAAATGCTTTCTTGGGAAATTAGCGAGGTCAATAGCATGGGCATAAGAGATTTTTGAGCCATATGAAGTCGTGCAATAGTTGATGATTTCATCTGGGAGGTCATTGCACCTCTGGGATTTCGTCCAAGAGGTGCCGTGCCAAAAGTTGATTTCACCAGGGTGGGACGCGACAGAGGTGCGATGTTCCGTTTGGAGCCGGCTGAGAGCTCGGAGATGGCTTACAACGTAGAGCTGCGCCACCGACTTTTTTAGCGGGGGGGTAGAAAATCTAAGGATCTTCTAAGCAAATCTGGGGAGCCTCCAATCGCAACTCCTGTCTAAAAATTTCCCTGGGCTTCGCCAGACTTCGCAAAGGAGCATCTTAGTTAGGCACATATAAATAAAAAGCCTATTTGCTTGGGATCGTTGGTCTCCGGTCTTTGTCATCAGCCCTCTTGTGAGGCCAGGAAGGGGTTCAGTGTTTTTCATGAGGCCTCCTACACATCTGATGGGCCTACTTGGAATTATCCCAGGCCTCCTGTCGACAAATGGTGCTTGATGTTGTAAGGCCTCCTTCTGGGCATACATGGTCTCCTTGTTCCACCTTTTTATTTTGGTGAAGTGTGTCGTCTTGGTCATCTGGGGCCTTCTTTAAGAGTGATCGGGCCTCCTCAAATTCGAACAGCGGACATGTGATCACCCTCGGCCGGTATGAAGGAGGTGGCTACCCCGATGTCTTACCGGTGACCCCACCACTGTTGAAGGGTCATCAGCAATTCTTCCCAGAGGAAACGGAAGAGGTAACGCGTCATGCTCCATAATGTGAGTTCGCGATGCTATTACGAGCAATGTGCAACAACGTCGCAGGCTTACAACGTAGGCCATGCGTCGGTGTGGGCGGTGAGAAGTGACGCTATATTTGACAACCAGTGCACTGGTTAATACCGCTAGCTGTTCACAGCAGTCAAGGTGATACACTTTCCAGAACAATAATTACCTGCGTGCAATTAGTATAATGCATAAGCGCAAGGACCCCATGCAATGTACATTTCTGGGCCTGCTGCTGGAGCGGAGAAGCAATAATTTGGTTCGTACCGCAGGTTTCAGCAATACCAGATTATTGCTCCAGTCTGG